ATTGGGAGGAATTAATAAATATCAATTCTTTCTCAATCTTAACTCAGTGGTTTAAACATGTTTCCGTTCGAATTCCATAATTCCTATAAAACACTTTTTTTTTCTTAATTTTCAGATACAAAACAAAATCTTCGGTAATGTTAAAGTTGTGTATCGTTTATGGAACCTAGAGGATTGTCATTTTGATTTAAGATTTGTATAACGCCGGTCTTTAAAAAAAACACAAAGCTCGAGTCGGAATCAATTAACAGCATGAAGTAGTTGAACTAAGTACAGACAGTTAAACTACTTCTTATTATTTTAAAAATCAGACTTTTGGGGTATCATGAGAAAAATATATATAAAATCGAAATATACATTCTATTGGTCATTCAAACGTCAATTATTTATATTTCTCTTCGTGTGTAGTATTGTGTTGATAATAGTTATAGTTCGTTTTTAAAAACGTTCAATGAAACGTCCCACACTTCAAAATTGTAAATTAGTTTTGGTTCGTTTTTGGGAATTTTTTTGGTTCGGGTTTGGGATGCTTTTGGTTCGGGTTGATTTTTGTTAATGTGTTAGAAGAAATTTCAAAGTTTAGAATAAACAATTTTGAAAACATTTGCCTTTCTTATACCATGCCAAATTTGGACCCTTTTAGAGAAGATATATGCAAAAAAACTAAAACGAACAAAGCATCAACAAATGTTAGGAGAACATACAAATATTCAGAAAAAAAACTCTTTTGAAAACATTTTCTTTTCTTATACCAAGCCAAATTTGGACCCTGAGAGAAAACAANCCCTGAGAATTACTCATTAATAAATTACTATAACACCATGAAATTCACTTTGGATCGTTATCAAGTTATCCTCTAGTATTCAACTTTTCTAGTGTTTTCACGTATTTTTCTAGTATTCCACTATTTTGGTGATTTTAACGTATTTTATCTCAAATACCATGGTTGGATTAGTTAGAGACAGAGATGGATTTCATTTAATTAATTAAATCCAGTGATATTGTATAGTGGTCTACAGTTCACAGGAAATGGTTCAAATAACACTGAACAGGCAGATGGATTCTTAAAGAACTTATTTTTAAAAAACTTAAACGATAAAAAGTTAGAACATCAACAAAAAGATTCGAATGAAGATTATAAAGGTTTGCACAAAGTTCTCTCTCAGTTGTATTCCAACACTGGCGGGGGTAGGACAGACCCTCCGT